TCCTTTCTCTTCAGATCTTTGACATCCAAGGACAGCCTGTACATTTTCTTTTTAAGAAAACAAACCATCACCAATGGCCGTTAATTTTTCGATCATAGCCCTGGTGATGCTTGCAGAAACCGTAATACAATCCTTAATTTGCCATTGACATGCCCTGCTAAATTAGAGCAGAGCCTGCGCTGTCTTTCAAGCTCTTCTAAATATTCTAAATTACGGTTTCCTAACGTTACCGCATCCATTTCGAGCCATTTATCGACTTCATATTGGATCTCTCGTTCCGATTCTTCTTTAGAAATTACCTCTTTGACTTTTGTCTTCTTAACCGTCGCAGTAGAAAGTTTAGTCTGTTTCTTCTTTTTGTTATATTTCCCCGAATGACTTTTATTTGCATTCCTACTACCCGGGGTATACTCTGTATCTTCATCAGAGTCCAATTCAATAAAGAATCAGAGTCCTCGGTCTTTTCCTCTGTCCCGCGAGTTTACTAGATTTTGGGGTTTTTCCCACCGATTTAAAACTCCCTTCATAGGAGCTAGATTTGATCGATTCGTCCATCTCTTTACGCGCGTCTTTAACAACTTGGGCCACACTTCTTTCAAATATTTTAGTTTTATTAAAATTATTTTCTTCCTCACTGGATTCGCTATCTATTATGCCAGACATTTTACTAGTATAACTCTCATTTAAGCTTTTATTCAATTTATCCTTTCTTATTTCTTTATATTTATAAAATTTACTAGAAATATCTTCCTTCTTTTAATTGAACTCCTAGTTATGCGTATATCCTCAACGGGTGATGAAGAGTGTAACCTGTTTAATTGATCGCTAGTTGATCTATTAGATTTGCTATCATCTGTCTCTCTGTAAATATCCTCTTCTTCTCTTCTTCCTTCTTCTTCTACTATTTCTTCTGCAACTACAACTCTAGTTTTAACCGGTCTGTCTCCTAATTTCTCATCATCCTTGTAAGGTGATGGAGGAGACTTCCTTTTAGATTTTTATTGTCAGAAGTAGCTTCAACCATTGATGCGCTATCTGACGCCACATCAACAGTGCCCTTGATTGATGACGACTCAGCAACGTCAGGCTCGTCACTGCGCCGATCGCTGGAGGCTCCGAATACCTCCTGCGACAGTAAGTTTTCCTCGTTTTCCATTGTACTAGCCATTTTGTATATATTTGTGGTTTTTTTTCTGGGTTTCCTTCCCATAGAGCAATAGGCAACTCGACTACAAGCTTGCTCGACCTGCAGAGAACCCGGGTTGTAATTTGGTTCCATTATTAGCGGCATTGACGGATCTTCGCATTCAAAACTAGACATGCCGACTAACTCTTCGTCTAGCTGATTAAGAACTCTCTTCTCCATTTCTAGTTCTTTACTGACATTGAGAAACACCATTTGAGATTTATCGATTTCCTTTATAATCTTTACATCCAGAGCAATTGCATCCTTAATATTACTCAATTCGAGGTTCTTTGACGACCCTTCACTGTGAGGAGGAGACAGGGCACGAAGCATACTAATCTCTGCTCTCGCATCATCGCCACGCACTTCTAATAATTTGACTTTATGTATCAAGTATGTTTTAGCAAAAAACATCTTTTGCCCAAAATCATACAGCAATTTGGCACATGCAATAGAGGATCTAATTCTATTCCTAGCATCATAACTATTCGTTTCAGCTTCTAAAGCATACAGGATGCTAGTTGTTTTAAGTACTATTTCTTCTGGAGTGACATTACTACTCATCAATTCATCAATGTATTCCTCAATGTCAACAAGATATGCCATTTTTAAGAAAAGCTAATGATATTATAATCTAATGATATTATAGACTAATGATGTTATAAACTAATGATGTTATAAACTATGCAATACTGTATATTTAATTCAATTTTAAACTTAATTTAAATCTAAATCTATGATATCTGTATATATATTATAAAATATTACCCTAGTTTCTAGTTTAATTTTGACGGATCAATGACTTAAATCAATAACTCACCAAAGAAAAAGATAACAATACCAACAATCAAAAATTACCTATATATATATGTATATAAGAAAATATAAAATATGAACGCATCAAGGTCTCTACAACAGCCAAAGTCAACGCTAATGACCCTTACTCAAGCGTGAATCAATAATTAATCAATTTCAGTCGCAATCATATAAATGCATATGCATATGTATGTAGCATTAAATCTAAATAATAATGTAACAAAAGTAAATCGATATTTAACATTCGCATAGATTCCCTTAGTATTACAAAATAACACAAGGGATCAATGCAACAAACTACCACTATATGTAAATTGTGTAATTAACAATTATTGAATACAGCTATTGAGAGCGTGTTATTTGTACAACTATCTTCCAATCCTCAGGAAACACCTGAGGAGGAGATGCTGCGGTAACTAACACACCTGTAATACTTTAGATCAATTACATCCACTCATTTAGTCAATAGAGTGTGATTCATTAATAATAATGGTATATCAATATCAATTAATATTAATATTAAACGAACAAAACAATAAGAACAGTACTATTATCTAATATTAGGTCTTCTTAAAATACAACAATTCAAAGACCCACCACACGCTATTCAATACTATTTATGTAAACGCCTATTAATATATCTTACATTAGAGTTCACTAATTTATTCATTTATAGATTATATTAATTTATACTTATAATCTCTTATTGATTATATATAAGAAGAAATCACCTATATATAAGTATAAAATACTCCAATATAAGATAGAACATGAGAAAACCTGAGTTTGTTCGATTATCAGGCTTTCCCCCAGATCTAGTGACTCTACTAACGCACTTAAGAATATTAAGTTTCGCTTCTATGTTATGATCTATGGCTATTCAGCACCTTGGCAACCGGGCACTGACATTCATCAATAGATGGCGCATCAATGTCCGTTTGTGACTTAATACAATATTCTAAAGGAAAACTCTCCAAGAGAGACCATAACCTCACTTGTTGTTATGACACTTTTACAGTACAGCGTAAATATACGTGTATAAATAGTACCTTCTATAAGTTGTGTATTCTGTCTAAATAACAACTGATATTAATATTAATATTAAACGAACAAAAGATAATAAAAACAGTACTATTATCTAATATTAGGTCTTCTTAAATTCAAAGACCAGCCGCACGCTATTCAATACTATTTATGTAATCGCCTATTAATATATCTTACATTAAAGTTTACTAATTTATTCATTTATAGATTATATTAATTTATACTTAATAATCTCTTATTGATTATATATAAGAAGAAATCACCTATATATAAGTATAAAATACTCCAATATAAGATAGAACATGAGAAAACCTGAGTTTGTTCAATTATCAGGCTTTCCCCCAGATCTAGTGACTTTACTAACGCACTTAAGAATATTTAGTTTCGCTTCTATATTATAATCTATGGCTGTTCAGCACCTTGGCAACCGGGCATTGACACTCATCAACAGATGGCGCATCAATGTCCGTTTGTGACTTAATACAATATTCCAAAGGAAAACTCTCCAAGAGAGACCATAACCTCACTTGCTGTTATGACACTTTTGCAGTGCAGCGTAAAATATACGTGTATAAATAGTACCTTCTATAAATTGTGTATTCTGTCTAATTAGCAACTGCAGTGCACAGTGACAAAAGTATCGGAAAAATAGCCAAGTAATGTCATTGGGCATTATCAAACACAAGTATTCATGATATATGCAACATTACGGTAAAGTAATTCAGCCTTATTAGTATTACAGAAACCCTTATAAATCATTAATTGATATATTAAATTGTAGTTATAATTATAATAATTATTATTTAACCAAATAGATTAACAACAGACAGTTATCAATATTAATATATAAAAGCATAAGTTTCTGCAATAATTGTTATTATTATTAAGGGAGAGATTCCCTCATATTCTAATATGATTTCATATATTCTACAAGGAACAACAATGTATGGAGAGAATCTCTCAAGGCTATCATATGAAAACTTCAATATCAGCCACAAAGAAGCACTCGCAACCATAAAAGAATGTCACGCAGACCTACACATATCATGACGTAAGAGTTTATAGTCTCTCTAATTAACAATAATAGTAAAGTTATAAGTTGTCATTAATAATCTTATCATATCACATAAATATATAATCTAATTACTACTATTATTGTATTATGAAATCTTCTAACAGTAACCTCTTATATTCCTTATATTTATCAAGGGCCAAAATGAATGAGAAGAATACAGTAACGCAAGTATCAGTAAGATACCCAAGTAATGTCATTGGGACATTATCAAACATAAGTATTCATGATATATGCAACATTGCGGTAAGTAATTCAGCCTTATTAATATTACAGAAACCCTTATAAATCATTAATTGAAATATTAAATTGTAAGTTTCTGTAATAGTTGTTATTATTATTAAGAGAGGTTACCTCATGCTCTCATATGATTTCATATATTCTAGGAACGACAATGTATGGAGAGAATCTCCCAAGGCTACCATAATATGAAATATAAAACTTCAACATCAGTCACAAAGAGGCACACGCAACCATAAAATGTCACGCAGACCTACACATATCATGGCGCAAGAGTTTATAGTCTCTCTAATTTAACAGGAATGAGTAAAGTTATAGGTTGTCATTATCAATCTTATCATATCACATAAGTATGTATAATTTAATTGTTACTATTATTGTATTATAAAATCTTCTTCTAACAGTAACCTCTTATATTTTTTCTTATATTTATCAGGGCCAAAATGAATGAGAAAATCATAAAGTTCAAAGTTCATAATTCAATTGATAAGGCAACCGCACAACCTCAGAGCAGAAAAGTATGTGACCACATAATCACACACTCATTCCAACATCCTGACATACTAATTATAACAATTCAAATCCTTCTGCAAGTTGTATATCGTCTAATTATATATGATAATAGATTCTCATATATTATATAAACTAACTTTCTTACTATTCTAAATTAATCTAATATTGTAATTTATAAAGTTTATAAATTTATAAGTTATAACAGCCTGAATTAGCTTGTATTTTACAAGTTGTATATCGTCTAATTATATATGATGATGATATTCTCATATATTACTTAAAAACTAACTTTCTTACTATTCTAAATTAATCTAATCTAATATTGTAGTTTGTAAAGTGTATAACGTTATAAAGTTATAAAGTTATAACAGCCTGAATTAGCTTATACTATAAATGTTCTTTTATACACTTCATATCTTAGTTAATAACTTTCATTTATTTATATTTCAGTAAATGCCTCGATGATGAAGACTCCACATAATACTCATAATCTGTGATCTAATCCCAAAGGACACAGCATGTTCCATACATACTGGGCATCAAAACCTCTGAGACAAGATGCATCAATGGAGCCATTATTCACCCTCAGATGACAATGTACACAAGCAGATCCAATTGTCACATGTGTCAATTATTAATTATTGTCTACTCACTTAGTGAAATTTCAATATATATCATATGATAGTATATTCCACTAATTATTCATAAACGACTAGCAAATTCAATGTCGTCTAATATTAGTACATAAACAGCAGTGTCCATCAAAGGAAAACCCTGCATCCAAACATGGCAAACTGTCAGGCTATTTCCATTTACATATGACACATTCACAAGAAATTATGATTTTATTGTCAATCATCAATTAACTCACGTTTTCTGAATATAAGTTATCTTATATTTAACTTTAAATTAGATTAAGTTTAAATTCAGTTCTTAATAAAGTCCAAATAATTCACCAATTACAGTACATGATATATTATTAGTATAATTGTAAGTTAAAAGTTATAGTGAAATAGCCTGAAGTTAATTAATTACACTTCACAACAGTTATTAATTTCACTTATCTTGTATTTTCAGCACAGTACTTAAAGAGAACTCCACCTCATAGCCTGCAAGTCAATCCCAGGGAGGACAGCAATTCCATTCAATCAGGACACCATGACCTCTGACACGATTCCAAATGCATCAACGGGGCCACTAATCATCCTTCAGTGACAGATGTACATCCTCCGCTCCAACAGTCACTTATCACACATATCTTGCGTAACATATATCAATTATTTAGTTCAATCAGCTTCCTTGTAAATTTGTCGACGCACTTGGTATGTATCAAGCATATAATATAATATGACACATGATATTAAATTCCAATCAGTATTCTTAGCAAAGTTAATTCAATAAGTAAAACAAGAGAGTAATCTTATCCTATTTTACTTATTTAAATTCAAATATTGTATTGTTCTCGATACTGTAGAAATATTTATTATCTAACACTTAGTTATAAACCATATATTAACCATATGCTAAGTTTCTGGTTTATTTCAGGATACCACACCGGAGCACAATTACAGCCTATATATAGTTCCTTCAATATTTAATGAGGAGGAAGAGAAGAATAATCATTCTTTTATCCTTATAAATGCTCAGGTTAGTTATTTATCCTATTTAATAGTTCAAATAGGTTGTTCACGATAGTGTAGATCTTATTATTCACACAAAATATGTATATGTATATATATATAAAGTTATAGACCTTGTATAACGTATTTCATTTAATTAATTAAACTATTTCTTTATAAGTTTGACCACGCACTTAATATGCATTTAGCATATACGAGGAAGTCCGTGTGTATATAAGTTATTTAACTTATTATAATTTCAACACTTAATAATGTCCAAATAGTACACTAGTGCATCGCATAATATTAAATATTAATGCTATTTCATTTTATTTTCAGTGTTGTTCAATGCACAAGTTAAACAAAACACTCAAGAAAGTCATTTATCTCATTCTTGAAAACATTCATATGCTGCATATAAAAGGAAGAAGAAGAAAGATCCTGCAACCACTCAACAGTCTGCAACCTATTTCCATCTTGAGATGACACGTCACATAATCAAGTTTATCAGCAATTAATACACACGTACGTATATAAATTATACTATACTTATTGTGAGTTTAACATTTGAATGTTCAAGTAGTAAACCCAATGCAATGCACAATATAATGCTAGTTTATTTTATTTTCCTTCTCAGAGTCGTTAATAATGCATCGAAGTCCATCACAGGCAAAATTAATGAGGAAAAGAAAAGAATAATCTTTCTTTTATCCTTATAAATGCTCAAGTTAGTTATTTATCCTATTTATAGTTCAAATAGATAGTTCACGATAATGTAGATCTTATTATTCACACAAAATATGTATATGTATATATATATAAAGTTATAGTCCTTGTATGACATATGTCATTTAATTAATTAAACTATTTCTTTAAGTTTGTCCACTCACTTAATGTGCATTTAGCATATGTTATACGAAGAAGTCCGTGTGTATATAAGTTATCTACTTATTATAATTTCAAACTTAATAATATTCAAATAGTTCACTAGTGCATCGCATAATATTAAATATTAATGCTATTTCATTTAATTTTCAGCATTGTTCAATGCACAAGTTAAACAAAACACTCAAGTAAGTCATTTATCTCATTCTTGAAAATAATAATCATATATTGCATATGAAGGAAGAAGAAGAAAGATCCTGCAACCACTCAAAAATCTGCAACCTATTTCCATCTTGAGATGACACGTCACATAAATCAAGTTTATCAGCAATTAATACCCACGTATGTATATAAATTACTCAAGTAAATTATTTACTTATCCTATTTTAATAGTTCGAATATTGTTCTCGATAGTAATGTATAATTCTTAGATATTAGTACTAGTTATTTAATTAATTTATTTTATCTTCATTTTCAGAGTTGTTGAGAGAACTATGTCGTAAAATCCGTACACAAGTCATCCAAAACAGTAATCAATGTGCAAGACACTACTTTACTTTGCACAGAAGTAACATATGTTTTGGACCTCCAAAAATTATGAGTTAAGTTGCAAACTATCTCCTATTTTCGATTGTTCAAGGAGATTGATTCACATAATAAATTTTTCTTCCACACAATGTATATAAATATGCCTATAATAGGTTCCAATTTGTTTCAGAAGAATTATCAGAATCAACACAACACACACCATTGAATGCATCCTGATCTTCTATTATTTTAGTGTATTAAGAATTAACTCCCAATAAATCCTTTCAAATAAGTAAGCTTCTGGTTCACTTAATTCATCTTAGTTTAACCAAGTAACTAATATCTCATTTAACTAATGTAATTAAATGTCTCATTAGAACAGTTCATATTATAATTATAATTATAATTATAATTATTTCACAGTACATTAATTCTTTATGTACTATATATTTTTTATATATTTAATATTCCTCAAGATTAAGAATTCAATTATTGTTTAATTATTGTTTAATTAGTTAAGTTTAGTTTATGCTTAACCATATCAACTTATATCATTATATATCACCACATGAAGATCAATCATCAAAAATCCGCGCCTTAATTGTAGCCAATGACATTACGCCAGCACTTGGCAAGCAAGCTGCCAACCCTCATGAACACGCGCGCACTGCGCAGTACATATGCGCCTTGGTCAAAAGACTGCCACGTGCTATTATTGTTGTACTTCTATTTATCAATAGAATATTAAAGAACTGTATGAGTCATATACTAAGCACTCAAATAATTACATATTCACTATTAATGATCCAATAAAAGGCATTAAGCACAGATTATTAAATATTTAAAAGTCAATTTTAAATGAATCTTACTATAAATGTCGAAGCCAATAAGAGGCTGACAACGAAGACCAACTCAATGTAGCCAACCCATTCTTGAACACGCGAGCGCATTCAATCTAGTGGGAAGGAACTAATATTTAATAATTCAATTAAACAATAATTAGAGTTATTTCAACTAATTCAAGTCACAGAATAGGAACTTACTGATATAAGAAGCACATATAAAATGTCTACTCCCCTCAGAAAAATAGCAGTTAACCTCCAGTGGGGCCCAAAAATCTTTGACAGTTTTGCCCCAAGAGGGACAAGGATAGCACTAATCAGAGATTGCAGCAGTCATTTATAAGTAAACTAACAATTTTCGACTGCCAAAATTTTCACACACTATATCCTTTAGCCAAAGGAATACACCAAAAATATATTTCCACGTGAAAAAGATATATATCACTGTGAACATGAACTTTTACTCCGAATCCATTGGAGCGAGAGAGACAGCGACAGTCAATGATGAAAACTAATATTTTAACAGAATAAAATAATTCTGGCACTGCAAACTTTAATAGACACTACTTAATGTTAGTGAGAGTATATTAAAAATATTTCCACATGTGTAATAATTATCCAAAAGCCAGATTATATGCTTCTATCATAAGTCTATTAGTAAGAGAGAGACATCAATAGTCTCAACTCAATTTCACTTATTTTATATAAAATAATTAACGGAGATGTCTAAAATTTATATATGTAATATAGTTCATCTCAACAAACAATCTAACAACAATAAAAACCAGTTTTAATGCACTTTTCATTCATTTAATAAGTGTTTAACTGCCTGTCAAAAAGTAACTAGACAGGCAGAGCACGTGTGAATATTTCAATGGCTTATTATAAACAAACTAATTGTTTAAATGATCTGCCTCCATTTGCCATTAATCTTGGCACCACAAACAATAATTCTACAGTGTTTTATGTATTCAAAATACACTTTAAACCACCTATACACGTGCTACTGTACGGAGCGCACTCAGTACACGTGTACCGAGGACATAGTCTCTCGACGGACTCAACCAACCTAACCTAACCTAACCTAACCTAACCTAACCTAACCTAACCTAACCTAACCTAACCTAACCTTTTTTTTTTTTTTTTTTATAGTCAGGAAATTTGCCTAAACCAAACTTCGCCGTCCCGACCCCTGAGGGAGGGTCGGGAGGCTTTGTGGTGGATTCCCGCCCGTAGTATCCCGAGGGACTATCGGGCGGGGGACCGACCTAAAACCTGACTGAAGCCCCTGGTCGTATGGGTACTGTCCACCGCGGAACCGCGTTAGCATAACTTCACGGTGGACACCCGACCGGCGTCCTTTAGGAAGGACACATCCCCCGAGAGGATACTACAGGTATCCCCCCGGAGAGGACATCCCTTGCCCCGAAAGGGCATCGAGGGGAGCCGGGCTACTAGCTCCCCCGGACTTCCCAGGGTCGACGTGCAATGAGAGCGGGGCCCCCACCCCTCTCTCTGCCAACCCGGTCAGTGAGGTGACCGCAGTCACCCACCCACACACGAAACGTCACAGGACGACTATAGAACATAACGTGCACGAAACATGTACACAAACCACATTGACATAGTAAGGGCCACAGGCCCAGCCCCCAACGGAGCCCACAACAAGACCCTATGGCCAACCACAATAAAGGTGGGAGGGTTGTTACTCCCACCTATGACAAAGGACAATAACTATGAACAACGTAAACTTGGCGTGGGTGAAGAGGCCGCGGAGTCACCTCTCGGCAACCTCCCCGGCGCTCCATCACCCATCGCCGCGACCTACAACATGAACTTGGCGGGGCAGGGAGACCACGGAGTCACCTTTCGGCAACCTCCCCGGAACCCCCCGCATCCCACCGCTACTCACTACAACAATGGACAAAAACGACACTAGACATCGGGGGCAGAACTGCAGCCCGGCACGGGGGAGCCGCCTCTCCGCGACTTCCCCCGCCCCCGGCCGCAGTCTACCCTCGTCCACTCCGGGCTCGCAGGCCCCCCATCGGGGCGCCCCGGAGCCTGCGCGCGTTCAGATGAAGGCGTACCCTCCCGACGCCTCTTGGGAGGGACGCGCACGCGAGCGCATGCAGCCGACCCGCAGCGTGTCCCGCTGGTTTTCCCCTCGAACCACACGAGAAACATCGGGGCGGCGCCACACAGTCAGCCGCCCTATGACCCGAGCAACCACACCGATAACATAGGCCACTCCGATCCACATCGGCGCCACAGTTGTTGGCGAATGGCCAAACTCGTGACACCGATAGCACTGGAGGGGACGACGAGCCAGATGACTAACATCTAGCGTCGTCCACCCCCCCTCCAAAGTAAGCCTTTTTGCTACCAACAACTTACGTGCCACTCTAGCGGGACAACGGATCCACATTGTCCCCATACTTGAACCTGTAAATAACTTAATCTTACCGGCTTTTAGATCTTCAGCCCGACATCCCCCAAACAACGCTACCTCCTCAGGAGCTTCTCGCGCTTCGCAAAAACCATTGACCCCCTCAAGCGGATATCTTCCATCCGAGAGGGGCGACCAACTCTGACATCCTCCGCCTCAGGGAAAGGCTTCCCTCAGCTTCAGCGCGAAAGCATCTGCTTTTGTTGTCGACTCCTTGCCAGGGACTGACAACAGGATGCTGCCAGTTACCCTGTTCGCATCCGCATTGTACTAATGCCCAACTCCTTCAGGTCGACCTTCGCTTTGGCCTCCGAAAGGACCGAGGCATACGACTTACCCTGACCCCCCCTCCCGATCGTCAGCGAAATTACCGACGCAGAGGAAGGGGGAGGAATTCGGCTCTTCCTCTTTGGGGCAGGAGCACCCGAAGAAGGGAACCTCTTAGCAGAGGGCCCCCCACGACGACGACGACGTCTACCTCTTGTACTAGCCCCGGGGGCAGAGGCATCCACCGAAGCCTCTGCAAGAGCAGAGGCGGCAGAGCCCCCGGCCACGGGACCAGCCGATGGCCCACTGACACCGACAACACTTGCCCTGGGCGCACGCCTGGGATCACTTCCGGAGAAGAGTCCCCAGCCCGCCCAGTAAGCAAAGGCTTAATGTTAGCCAACACGGCAGCAGATATGTCGACCCTAAGGTCGGCAAAACGCCTGTCCAGTATGGACGACAAGTCCTCCATAGTGACGAGGTGACTCCCGGCCAGATCCGTCTCCGTCACCACCTGTCCCGACGGCGATCCCGGCGATGATGCCGGACAAGGCCGCTTCCTCGCTCCCTTATCGCCAAAGAAGTATTCGGCCTCCAGCTGCGGAATGGCCGCCCGGAAGCTCGCCATCTCCGCCTCGACCCTATCTCGATCGCGCTCCAGAGCCGCAATCCTCTCACGCAGTCCCCGGTTCTCGCTTCTCAAGGCCTCGGTCTGCGGATCCGTCCCAACAGTGGCCCGCCTGGCCATCTCGTCAAAGATGCCCACAAGTCTCATTGAAGACACCCGAAGATCCCTGGCCACGATTTCATCGAGACCAGTGATATCGGATGCCTTCTCCACTTGTGTGGCAGACAACCCGGCCAACCTTCGGAGCTCCAAGTTGGTAACTTTCCCAAGGCCGGATCTAAAAACTTCGTCCGAGGGAATATTCTCCCTTCCTACCGCAGCGAGGTCTGGACCCAAACTAGGATCCAATAATCTATTCAGATCCTTCAAAAGGACCTCCTGCCTTTCAGCGCGTAAGACCCGCTCCTTGGCCTCCGCGATATTAACATAGTCCCCAGTTGTTTTGGGGCGACCACGCTTAGTAGTGCGACCGGCACACTTACCTTCGATTTTTTGCGGGGGTACTGCTTCCTCCCAGTTAGTAGGCGCTTGTCCGATACCTGGAAGTCCGCATCTCTCCCATCGTCCTCCGGTGAGCTCGGCGAGGAGACCGTGATGAAGCTCACCTCCGGTTCACACTCACCGTCACTTACACCCCGCACTTTTTCCGGTGAGGGAAGAGGCTGAGAACAGTCACTCTCCCCATCTACTGTTCCTCCAGTCACTGACTCTGCGGTGCTAACCGCAATGACTGGTTCGAAGAACTGTACGCAAACGTGTTTGGCACAGAACTTCGTTTCGCGTCGCGAACACTCCCGAAAAAAGACGTCCATGTATTTCGCGAGGTCCTTATACACATGATGGGCCTGATAGCACCGAACCACTTTATCCAGAAGGACTCGGCGAATACGCGCAGCAAGTTCCTTCGGATCAACACTTCGATCACGAGTATCCCAGCTATGAGCTAGGTCCCGTAATCGCTCACACACCGTGTCCCTCTCACTCCTCGGCACTGTCGCTGTCTTGTCTGCAGCCCCAGCCGGCAAAGCTGCAGACGACCTGTCGTCCGTTGACGACATGGAGGGAGCCAGGCCTACACCCCCCCCACGCCGGTTCCTGGTATCCGATCCC